TCTAAAACTTTTACTTTTACACTTTTGTAAAAAGCCTAAGTTGATCCTCTAACTTCTACAAAAGTGCTTTTAAACAGTAGGATTTCTACTTATACTCGATTAATTAACATCAATAATTTTAACACCTCTGACTAAAAAAGCTTTCCGTTTCACTGGAATATATGTATGGCTGTCACAGTTCTAATGCATTTTATTTTATTTCTCTGGGTTAAAAAAAACATGTTTTCTCTTTATTCTGTCTCCTTAGATGCTATGTAATACTGTAATGTTGGAATAGCACCTGAAATTCAGATAGATGGGTTTTCTATGACCAATTGTGGGAGCATCAAGGCTAACAGCTCTCATCACACCATAGTCTGAGCTCTGTTTCAAGCACAAACTCAGCCCACCTTAATGGGGTCTGGTGGATTACTGTGACCTAGGTCAGATGGTGAGAAGCAGCCTTTTAACAGTAGAGTTGACCCAATCACCGCTGTTCAGTTTGTTTACGAGGACAGTTACTCTCTTCAAAACCATTAACCCGAAGCGGTAGAACTGCAGCATCCAGCGTTTTACAGCAGGGCCACCAGAATAGCGGCGAGAAAATCCACAGGTCAAATTGTTTAAAGCTGTATAGATGTAGAGTTTACTCAGAGAAAAGTTATCACTGCATTTTAACAAAATACACAGTAAGCCTCAAGGTGGGCCTCGGGTTAAAGCAATCACTGTAACCTTAACGGCTGTAGAGCCAGACATATTAAAGGTTTTACATTAGTTTAAACTGAGAGTTACTGAAGTTCTGTCAAAATATTCCACATTTAGACAGTTAATAACCCTTTATAATGCAAGTTACAGTTTTCAATGACTTGCATACCAAATGGAGTCCCCCCTGTCTCTCAGTGAGGTCTAGAAGCACAAGATCTATATCCAGCAATTCAGCGAAGATCCAGCTACATGGCTGTGCATCTTATTTTGGCATTTGACAAATTAGAGGAGCGCTTAAATGATATATTACCAACTGTAAATTAAGTTGCACTGGAAAAAAATCGAAAACTAGATAAGTAATTATTTCTTAAAATAAGCGTATTTGTTCTTAGATTTAGGAAGAAAAAGAGAAAATTTTGCCAATGGAACAAGACAATTTACATTTGTAATAAGAAAACACAATTGGATTGTCCTATTTCAAGTGCATTTTATCTAATTATCTTATTTGAAGAGTAAAAATACTCATTCCATTGGCAAACTACCTCATTTACCTACTCAAATTGAGGGTAAATACACTTAATTTAAGGAATGTTTTACTTATTTCTAGGTCGTTTTTACAGTGTGAACACTGGAAAAAATCAAAATCTATATCAGTCTCTTCTTAAAATAAGTGCATTTGTTCTTGAATTGAGAAGGTTAAAGAGACATTTTGCCAATGGAACAAGACAATTTACATTTAAAATAAGAAAACGCAATTATATTGTCTTATTTCAAGTGCATATTATCTAATTATTTTATTCTAAGAGTAAAAATACTCATTCCATTGGGAAATCATTTCATTTACCTACTCAAATTAAGGGTAAATACACTTAATTTAAGAAATTTTTTACTTATTTCTAGATCGTTTTTCCAGTGAAAGAAATAAGTTAAAAAGTCAAGAAAAAGGGTAAAAAGTTATTTTAAAAAGTTGATAAGCCTAGTTAAAAATTACATTTAAGTTTATAAACTAAAAAATGTAAGTGCCACACTGGGAAAAAATCGAACTCTAGATAAGCCACTTTTTTCTTAAATTAAGTGCATTTTTCTTGGATTGAGGAGATAAAAGAGACATTTTGCCAATGGAACAAGACAATTTACACTTAAAATAAGAAAAAAAACAACTGCATTGTCTTATTTCAAGGGCATTTGATCTAAATATCTTATTTTAAGAGTAAAAGTACTCATTACATTGGCAAACTATCTCATTTACCTACTCAAATTAAGGGTAAATACACTTAATTTAAGATTTTTTTTTTTTACTTATTTCTAAATTGTTTTCCAGTGCAGTATCACCATTAATGCCTCTTAGGTTATGTTGGACCAAAAAAAAATTGTTTTTTTTATGAATTTCTTATAGAAGCACTTTTGTTATTTTTCCTTTTATATTTGGGTAAGTTGGCTTTTATTGTTATTACATTGACATTAGTTTTTGCCATCAAAATATTTCTGGGTCTTGTCCGGGATTCCAATAACACTCTTGGCTTGAAATTTTGATTTTCAAAGTATTTCACTTAGCGCCCTATAAAGGGTTAAACGTGATAGCTACTAGTTGGACTCATCCCAGGCAGTAGATGGCGCTCTCACTCATTCGCTCTCATTATTTGCTGCTTGCCAGTCAATTGCCATTTCCACTAATGCTCATACTAACCAAACCAAACATTAAACTTACTAGTTTAGGAGAAAAAACAGAAACATCTGTGGTTTCTGAGCAGAGAAGAAGACATTTCTGAATTCACTAAGCTACTAGCTTTTAGAAAAACATAAACTCCCTCTCAAGCTGCTATTCCTACACTGCAAAAAATAGAAATCTCAATAAGTTATTTTTTCTTAAAATAAGTGTGTTTTTCCTTGATTTGAGGAGGTAAGTAAGACACTTTGCCAATGGAACAAGACAATTTCCTTTTAAAATAAGAAAAAACTATTTTATCCTCTTATTTCAAGTAAATATTATCTAACTATCTTATTTTAAGAGTAAAAATACTCATTCCATTGGCAAATCATCTTATTTATCTACTCAAATTAAGGCTAAATATACTTAATTTAAGCCATTTTTTACTTATTTCTGGATTGTTTTTGCAGTGTATTGGTGCATAGTATTTTTATTTCAAGGTTGGAATTACATCAGGAGTAAATATTAATGTATTTTGAATCTGTCAAAAGTAGTAAAAAAACAAACATTTTATACTATATTTGTCAACAATGGGTGGTGAGGTTGCTTGAGGACCAAGATGCAGAGATGAGTGAAGAAGCGATGAGTTCTGACAGATTTAATAGAAGAACACAGGAAACAGAGGTACAAAACCAGAAATCCTACTAAAATGTAAAACAAACCAAAAACCATGGAGACATCGGGGAAAACGAGCCTGAGAGACGAGCTGAGTAGACAAGTAAAGCAACGACAAGGAACCAGCACTGAGTGACTGCAGAGGTGGAGTATTTAAGGAGAACAGAACAAAGGATGGACTAATGAGCTGAATAAGGAGCAGGTGTGGGTGGAACTGGCAAGAGGGAATCCAAGGGGAAAGAAAACAACCACAAGGGGGCAACAGAGAGCAACTAAAGAATGCTTGAATATGATGGAAAATAACAAAACAACTGATAAGAGAAAACTGAAAACTCATAGTCACAACAAAAGGGAAGAACCATAACAATATTTTTTTGCATTTAAATTAGTATTTTTATTCTGCATGATTCTAGATATTATGTGTAAGTAGCTTTGACCTTTAACTCTGACATTAATGTGGGGAAACCTTTGTTTTATCAGATGAGCATACCTGGTCAGACCAGCAAACCCATAGTCAATACCTGTTTATCCCTCTAGTTTATCCCTGTAGTTTATCTCTTTATTTTTGTATGAAAAATATACTTTAAGCTACGTCAATGGGCGGGTATCCCTTTAATCATGTACATTCATGGATAGTCATGGATGGATGGATGAACTAAAGGGATTGTTAGGTTTATTATTTATACATCATGTGCGTTGTTATTCTGTTAGCCAGGTTAGACAGAGTAGAAGGCCTTACTTCACAGTGTGGACGTCACTGTGTGTACGGAGGTCATCTAATCAGGACAGCCTTCGTGTCTTTAAGAATACACAGGATATGGGCACATCTTGGAGCTGGTCTGATAGAGGAGAGCTATCTGTAACCCTGAAGCATAGAAGCAAGCTGCATGAAGTTCAAGACATGGATGAAGTGTCAGTTTCTGATACGGACAGCTAAACATCAACATGATGCAACACATAGACTCATGAGCTATAAGAAGCAGGAGATGACCTTGTTCGGGGCTCAATCTTTGCCGGACGCTCGCGGACGTGATTTTTGAGCCCACAGCTGTGCAAGCTCCAAGCAGTTTTCTCTGTCCTGTAACGACCTGATCTGGAATAAACTCTGTCATTTTTTACTCCTGTTTTTATAGTCCTTTTTATATGCTTTTACCCAGTTTGAGTTAAGAGTAGTACATAACTTGCTCCCAGGAAAAGAACCGTGAGGAAGCCCCCGAGGCGCAACGGCTTTTTGAGGGGACATAACTTCCTCATTTTAACAGATACACACCCCTCGAGGTGGTTTAAATGTGATGTCTTGCCATGCATATTGACTATAGGTATGCTGATCTGGCAGAACATCGGGTTAAAATCCCAGTGATGCCAGTTCGCTCATAAAAATCCCTACATTTTTAACAAGTTGTATCTGCTCACCAAGCGGATGGGTTAAATACAAATGCAATTTCTCTAATGTGAGATCAATAAAGTTAAATTATTATTATTAAAGACTTTTAAACCCCTGAATTTGGAAACAGCTAAAAGGACACCAACATACTGAAGATAGAACAAATTTCCCTCAGCGATAAAACAAATGGAAGCATGCAGTTACACACAAGAGTAAAACAAAACCTATAAAAAAAACTTCACTGATCATTTTTAACGTACATTGATTCTATTTAAGTATTTGAGGGTCATGCTGACTTCCTTAAAGAAAACGGCGTTCTTAACGAAAGGTCAAACCTGGATATTCCATAAAAGTCAAAATTTTTTCAAGTTTGAAGACGTTTCTCTTCCCATCCAGAAAGCTTTTTTCAGTTAAAAATGTCAGAAATAGTGTGAAGTTCGAGGCTTTGTACAGTAGACCAACAAAGCCTTGTTTTTGCTTAGAAAACATGCAAATTGAAATGGATGAACGGGTCAGACCTGGACAGTTTGTCTCCCTCGCTCACATTCCTGTTCAAAATTTTCAACATGTCTTCAGACTGTTTTTCTGTATGATCTTTCTATATTCCAGCTCCAAGTGCGCCGAGTTTCATTCACTTCAGTGAGCTGACCACCACCTCTGTCAACGTGTCCTGGGGCGAACCCACCTTTCCTAACGGCATCATTGAAGGCTACCGTCTGGTTTATGAGCCATTAACCCCTGTAGATGGTAATCTCTCATTTCTACTCATTTGAAATATTTTTTTTTCTTGAATCCCCCCATTCCACTAATTTAAACAACAGATTATTTAACTGCTTTTATTCCAAATAATACCAAAGATTTGAATCATAAACTGAAATGAATAACATCATAACTCTGTGTGTGTGGATGTGGTGAGTCTGCTCACTTATTGTAAGACCTGCTCTAAATGTGGTGTGTTTGTCCAGACCCCTCAGTGGCCTGTGCCGACTGTCTTCACTCCCCCTCCCCCCCAGGCGTCAGTAAGACAGTTACGGTGGACGTGAAGGGGGGCGGGCCCCTCTGGTTGAAACTTCGAGATTTGGCCGACGGCATCACGTATAACTTCCGCATCCGAGCCAAGACCTTCATCTATGGGCCGGAGGTGGAGGCCAACATCACTACTGGACCAGGGGAAGGTATTGGTCGTAGATTTAATTTTGGATTGAAAGAGAGTTTGGTATTTTCATTTGGCCACAATAAAGGGAAGAGTTCAGGTGATCTTTTGTTTCTGCTGTTTAAGAAAACTCAAACTAAAAACTCAAAGCAACTAAAGATGAGAACTGGAGATGAGGTATTCCTCAAAGTTTTGGACTAGAGTCTTGCAAGCATTTCTTTTCTTAAATGATAATGGAAAAAAAAAATCCTCTGTACGGTTCATCAGGAAAGTTTCAGTGTGACAGTGGCAAAAACAACTTAACTGAAAGCTTTAAACAAACAAGAAACTAAATGATCTAAAAATAACAAAAGATTTAAAAGTTAATCTGTGCAGCAGAGGTTAAAAGAAAAGATAAAAAGGAGACACAACGACCAGTTAAGAGATAGATATGAAAAAGTTTTCAATAAACCAAAGATGTGTCATGATTTTATTCAAACAGAGAGACCAAGGCAAGGTTTAACAGGTTTATTGAGAACTGGTAGAGATGGGTCCAGTGCTGCTCTGAACACTGGCGAACCGGGACTGAAAAGTGAAGGGGAAGATCCAGTGGTTAGTGCAGGCTCAGTGGGAAATTTGAGCTTCAATTTGCAAAAGGGAATAAAGGCAACAGGACTGATTTTTCCAGAAAAGGTGTCTTTCTCTGAATCAAGTCGGTGTGGGTTGTTCTGGTAATAGACTTGCTTGTTGGAGGGCGGACAGGGTTTACCCAGGTTGAGGTGTTTTCTTAGAGGAACGGAGGAGCTGACTGCCACTTAGATTTCCAATGGTACTTGAACGGTTTCTTGTGGGGATGAATCCCCTGCTCAGTGAGAAGCTCAAACAATCCTTTGGGGAAAGGTAGATCTAAACCTCCAGTTTGAATCCTCAGCTCAGTTTGAAGCTCAGATGATCCTTTCAGGGGGAGAAGGTCCAAAACATCCAGTTAGCAGGGTGACTTCCTGCCAAAAGGCAAAGACAAAAAAACAACAAGGTTAAGGCTCAAGTTGACAAAAACTCAGTTTGACTCAGCAAAACTCAGCTTCAGAGTCCTCCGGTAATGAGGCAACCATCCGCAGGTGTGTGAGCCAACGAGAAGCAGGCGCCACCTGGTGGTGGAGGGAAAAAAACACAAAAACACAACCCACTCAAACTGGATTCCTAACAAGCTGGTCATTTCCATCTGGAATCGTTAGCATGGATGTCCATTAACCTGTAGGAAACATCTCAAGGGGAGCAAAAAAGTGCAAATAACTGAACTGTTTAGATCAGGAACTTGTGCAACTAATAGCATGTTTACAAACATTTACTGGCTCTCTACAGTAGGAATTAGCAAAGACTATGAAGTATAACAGCAGCTGAAAGGAAGAATCTGTAGAGGCGCTTGTTTGTGTGTCTAGAATGCAACAGTATTTCACTGAATGTGCTCTTAGCACATTAATAACTTCATGCATGAGTCTGGAAAACTTGTCAACAGTCTTCCACCTGCACCCTGACCAGGGAGCATCCTGGGACAGAGTTGGTCCTCCTAATGAGCTTATCTAACTTCTTCTGATTCAACACACAACACCATAAAAGATCTCAGGAGGAAAATTATGACAAATATAAGAAGCGTTGCTGCTAAAGCAATAGTTTAAATTCATAAGGAATAACAAGAAGTGTTGTAGACAGACTCTAATAAATCAACTTTTTTATCTTAGAGACTTCTGATTGGGGAGTGTTAGCTAGTGGTTATAGCAGTGCACTTGTGCTCTGAGAAGGTTTTAAATCCGCGGTCAGATTCCCACAGCCTCCACTCTGGGTTCCTGAGAAAAACCCTAAATCCCACACTGCTCTCAGGGCGCCACAAAATGGCAGCCCACTGCACCCCGATGGGATGGGTTAAAATTAACCTACAGTAGAAGCCATTCAAAAGTTCCCCCATTTTCCTTGATGGGCCCTCGGCTGGTCCCCTACAATTCATTTTAAACATCAATCTTTGTGCTAAAATATTCTTTCTGTCATGATTTGTGGACATTAAGATCTAAAGAGAAGCATCATCTATAGGTCAGGCCGTGTAATTCAGTGAAAGGGTGGAGAAAGAGTAAGAGAGTAACACCAAGAGTAACACCTGTAAGGTGTTTTTTTTTTAAACACCTTACAGGCTAGACAATGTTTCAAATTTGAGATAAATCTATGAAAGCTATGATATCGTTATGCATTTTTTTTTTGAGAAACAACAGCAAAAAACAGAAGTAGAACGGTTGCATTCCACCTATTCCTATTAAAACCTCATTCACTGAAAAATATTTACGTATAGTGCGGACCACGCTTCAATACTGAGCATAAATCAAAAATGTCTGTGTTAATCTCACTGCAACACACTGCTTTAAGAGTATAAGCAGGAAGCGAGGTAGGAGGGCAAAATAGGTTTAGCGCCACCGCAGCACGGGAGGGAGAATTACATCCAGGAGCAAATGGATAAAAATAGACCAGAGGGGGGAAAAAAACATGAATCGATTCTCTTGCGGACGTATCTATGCATCGGATTGTTGGCTGCTGGATTGATGCATCGATACAAAATGAATATTATTTACACCCCTACTACCCACTGCCCCACTGACCAGCCTTTGTTAGATCAATAAAATCTCACAATGCAAATTTAATTGGTAAAAATTTAACTTTATTCTGAAATGATCAGTAGAGTTCACTTTCTATAATTTAAATTTATTTTATTAAAATATTGTTTTAAAGTTAATTGGATGTGAAGTTCAATATCATATTAGACCTGCTTTGAAGTTGTTTATTTAAGTTGATCCCAGTTTGCTTTGGCTAGCTTTCAGCTGGAGTCCTGAATAAGGTGAGAAGCTCTTAATGGACACGTGTGCTAATGTCTGCTGGGAGCACAGCTGCTCCACAAGCAAATTTATGTCTCCATTGATCTGCCACCGCAGAGACGTGTCGTAGCAGCTGAACTAAATGGAAATGGAAAAGTATTTTACACCTCATTTAATTATTTATGAGTTGGTCGTTTATTTTCCTGCAATTTATTTTACAATCAATTAATGTCTGTGTGGCTATTCATACACATCCCTCTGCTTGGTGCCAGTTTGGTCTCTTCATTTTGTATTATTTATGAAGATATCAGACTCTGAAATAATTGATGGCGGGATACATTACATTTTGTGTAGACGGCAACACAGGAACTGTTTGATAAAACTGTCTAAAAAACAGGCAGATGTATTAAAGTAAACAATATTTATTATAAAAAAAATGTTTATTTAAGAATCTAAAAATGTGTCTTTAGATTTAATTTGGGTTGAGTTTAAATTAACTGAATTTATTTGCTAATAGAAAACAACACAGTCTCCTCATAACTACTTTTAATACTCATTCTCCTCAGGAGCCCCAGGACCCCCTGGAGAACCTTTTATTACACGTTACGGTTCAGGCCTGACGATCCACTGGACGGGAGGTGACCCAGGACGGGCTCCTATAACACGATATGTCATCGAGGCCAGACCTTCAGGTACGATTTCTCTAAACAAAGCTGCAAAAAATGACTTTTAGACAAGAGAGCGAGATGCGTGCTTATTGCAACCTACACTGCTAACAATTGAAATCTAAATTTTCTCTCTTTTCTTAAACTAAGTGCATCTGTTCTTGAATTGGGGAGGTAAGTGAGACAGTTTGCCAATGGAACAAGACAATTTACATTTAAAATAAGGAAAAAGCAAATGCATTGTCTTACTACAAGTGCATATTATCTATTTATCTTATTTTAAGAGTAAAAATAATCATTCCATTGGCAAACTATCTCATTTACCTACTCAAAGTAAGGTAAATACACTTAATTTAGGACATTTTTACTTAATTGTAGACCATTTTTCCAATGTATGAAAACACACAATGCCTGTTGCTTTATATGTTTCCCCTGTGTGTGTGTGTTTTTTTATATATTCTTTTGAGTGACTATCTATGTCAGGACTGAAACAATTAATCGGATTAATCATGATTAATTGGTTATTGAAATAATCAACTTATTTTGGAATCAATTAATCATTAACTGGAGATTATATATTATAAAACATGCCTTTAGCTGACAGAGCGACCCACTTAGGGCAGTAATTATATCAAAATTGTAAAAAAATATATATATATATATTTAAAATATTGGTAATATAATATTTTAAAATTTAAGATATAAAAAAAAATGTGTCTGTCAATATGCTCTATACAGAACTCCTCAAGTGGAATCGTTTTAGTTTCCCCCTGGTTTAATTTAGTAAAAAATCTTCTTTAAGGAACCTTTGATTACTCCATTAGTAATCGATTAATGGAAAAAAAATTGACGCATCATCAGGATGGCAGATGTATGTATATATTAGGGGTGGAACGGTTCACAAAATTCACGATTCGGTTCGGTTCACGGTTTCGTGGTCACGGTTTTCGGTTCGGTATAAGTTGATTGTTAAGAAAATCTATTATGTCTTATATACAGAGATGGCAAAAGTACTCACTTTCCGTACTTGAGTAAAAGTACAGATACTTGTGTTAAAAAATACTCTGGTAAAAGTGGAAGTACTGATTAAACTTCTTTACTCAAGTAAAAGTAACAAAGTACAGGCTTGTAAATTTACTTAAAGTATAAAAGTAAACGTAGAAACCACTTTTTTCATGCCGTTGCCTACATTTTAAATGGATGTCTGCCAATAGGACTAGATCTCCGTTGTGTTCATTTTCAATCATGTCGTCGTCCATGCTACTATGCTAACGCCACCGCCACCAAGCTGCAATGATTCGCCGCCAATGAATACCGCCGAATCTGTCGATTCATCTTGTAGTGGTGCGTCAAATGCAACGTAGATTCCCATCCAATTAGATTGAATTTGGTATTGATGACGTGAAAAATAATAACGGTAACTCCATTGAAATGATTCAAAACTAAAGTAACGAGCCAATTTAAAAAAATGTAAGGAGTAGAAAGGACAGATATTTGTGTAAAAATGTAAGGAGTCGAAGTAAAAAGTTGCCATAAAAATAAGTAGTAAAGTAAAGTAAAAATATCAGAAAAATCTACTTGAGTACAGTAACGAAGTATTTGTACTTCGTTACTTCCCATCTCTGCTTATATAGTATAACACGTGTTGCACAATGCTTTTTTTGTTTGTTTGTTTTTTATTAAGTCAACAAACATTTACATGAAAAAATACTCTCAGAGAGGATAGCAAAGGTGAACATGAACAGATAAAGATCAATTACAATAAAAGACAAACAAAGAAGTAAAACAACTAACAAGGGATTTATCTCAGCAAACATTTAAAAGACAGAGCCATAGAAATAATAAAAACAAAAAGGTGAATACACTTAAAATAGCAGATGTTTGGAGAAATCAAGTCTCAAATTTTTGGCATATTTATCTTCCTAAGAGAAGAAAAATAGATTTTAAAGTCATTCATAAACCAATGAAAGGAAGGTTTAGAATTTCTCCATTTAGCGCAGTGGATACGATATTTACCCAACAGCAGGAGGACATTAATAGTATAAGAAACAGGCTGGGGAAGATGGTCCATATAAAAAATGACATCATTTAGCGCAAAAGGGGTGTTGCACAATGCTTGCACACTGTTGCACTTTTATCCACCACTTTCTTTCCGCCGTCATCGTAGGTCACTCTAAATGCAAAGCGCTCCCATACAGCAGACCTATTAAGTGCTGCTGGCGCGTCTTCCAACTCCTGTTCTTTCTTATTTACTACTGGTGGTTGGCTTTGGTCGCAGTACCGCCACCTTCTGCTCTGGAGTGTAAACGCTTCACCTATGAGAAAAAGGAGCAGCGCATGAACCGAACGCAACACACGCGAACCGAACCGAGACAGTCGAACCGAACGGTTCGGACGGTTTTCATAAACCGTTCCATCCCTAGTATGTATGTATTTATGTATATACATATTTAAATATATATACATATATACAACTTGTTACCATCCTTTTTTGTGAATGTATTGTGTAATCTACACTGCAAAACCTATCTGAAATTAAGTAAAAATGTCTTAAATCAAGTGTATTTACCCTTAATTTGAGCAGGTAAATAAGATAGTGGACTTGAAATGAGACAATGCAATTGATTTTTCTTATTTCAAATGTAAATTGTCTTGTTCCATTGGCAAAGTGTCTCATTTACCTCATCAATTCAGGATAAAAGGCACTTATTTTAAGAAAAAAATGACTTATCTAGATTTCGATTTTTTGTTTTTTGTGTATTATCAGGCTTATTGTAGTTGCTTGTATTTGAGAGTAAAGGTTAATTTGGTCAGGCTCTATACCTCTAGAGTCTAGACAACAGTTGATGGTCGGAATAAAAATAGAATATATTAATCTTCAAAACGATGAACCGACAGCTCAGTAAACTCAATCCTGCAACAGGATCTGTAATACTTTGAATCCTGTGAAAAGTGAAAAGTCCATATTTGCTGCCCCCAGCCTGCATGCCTGATATTTAATGCATTATTGATTCAGTCACCACATCTGGGAGGATTTGCATCCTGTTTCAGCTGTGACTGGCACGTCCATATCAAAATGAATACCATGACAGGAGGAGGTAGGTATGGAGGATAAAAAGTGCCAAAATTAAATAAATAAATACAGCATTAAATAAATAATTAAATGTGTCAACAATTAATTAAATTTTGAATTAAATAAAAAAATTTGTCATTCATTAGTTAAAACCACGTCACTAATATAAAGTGCCACATTTAAATAAATAAATACAGATAAACAATTAATTTAATGTGTAATTCATTAAATAAATAAGGAATTAAATATATAAATGTGTCATTAATTTAATAAAATACGTCTTCATTTTATTTTTTCAGTGTGCATTTAATTATTTCATGGTCCTGTGTCGCAGTGCATCGAAACCATTAAAAGAATCTGTCAAACTCACCCATCAAAGTTAGGGGGCGGTTATCTAACACCTGATTGGTCACCCTGCACATTAAGGCGAAGCAAATCGATTCGCGTTAACCCCGCCCCCTAACTTTGATGGGTGAGTTTGACAGATTCTTTTAATGGTTATAAAATGAAGACGTATTTTATTAAATTAATGACACATTTATATATTTAATTCCTTATTTATTTAATGAATTACACATTTAATTAATTGTTTATCGCTGTATTTATTTATTTAATTGTGGCACTTTATATTAGTGACCTGGTTTTTATTAATGAATGACACATTTATTTATTTAATTCCACATTTAATTAATTATTGACACATTTAATTATTTATTTAATGCTGTATTTATTTATTTAATTTTGGCAGTTTTTATCCTCCATAGGTATGACCAGATTATGTTGGAATTTAGAGACTTTGATCTACTACATGTAAATATTCTCCAGGCTGATGACAATCCAAACCTTTTCCTTATCCAGGGCCTTATTCTGTAAACTCCTCCTGCTCCAGTTTGTTTAACGTTTGTGTTTATATATCCTATTAAAACGATCACAGTTTACACTAATATTTACTAGCACTGACACGTAATAAACAAACTCTGGCAAGATGTCCGTAGCAAACTGCTTCATTTGAAAAATGACTACGCCGCCATTTGTATCGCTGATTTAGCCTCCGTAAATTTTTACGAGAGCCGTAAAATTGATGGATTGTGTAATATTTGAAGGAATTTTCAATTAACCCAGAGAGCTGTAAGCTAGCCAAGTGCTTTATATCAAAAAGAAGCAAACATGTTGGCAGCGATGCTGTCGCCGGGTCTGAAAGCTGTAGCGCTTAGATGGATGTTTCCGTCTGCGTTTGGATTGAAGTAGAGTTTCCCCCTCTGTTGTAGATGAAGGTTTGTGGGATATTATAATCAAGGACATCCCAAAGGATGCAACATCACACACATTCAACATGGATGTACTTAAACAAGGCGTCAGCTATGACTTCCGGGTAATCGCAGTGAACGACTACGGCTACGGCTCTCCAAGCATGCCTTCACCCTCTATATCTGGTAAGTTTTTTTTATGTTTGTTAATGGAACTGAATGAAGTGAATTAAATTAAATTTCAAACTTAATCAAAAATGTTCCCAAGGTCCTCCAGACTTCACAGGAACATGACTCGCACATTTCTAACAAGCGTGAATTCCAATTTTCCACTTCTCTTTCAGCTCAGAAAGTGGCCCCGTTTTATGAGGAGTGGTGGTTCCTGGTCGTCGTGGCGCTGGTGGGACTCATCTTCATCCTGCTGCTGGTTTTCATCCTCATCATTAGAGGACAGAGCAAGAAATATGCAAAGAAGTCTGAGTCAGGTGAGGCTGGAGAAACACACTTATTTAACTGTTATGTTTGGCTTCACATACACTGCAAAAAATGTAAATCTAAATAATTTTTTCCTAAAATAAGTGCATTTTTTCTTGAACTGAGGTGGTAATTGAGACACTTTGCCAATGGAAGAAGAGAATTTACATTTAAAATAAGAAAAAAATATTGCATTGTCTTATTTCAAGTGCATATTATCTAATTATCTTATTTTCAGAGTAAAAATACTCATTCCACTGGCAAATAATTTTATTTACCTACTTAAATTAAGGGCAAATACACTAACTTTAAGACATTATTACTTATATCTGGATCGTTTTTGCAGTGTATTTATTTATTTATTCTAATTTTGTGCCTCTCATTAAAGAGATTCACCAATCTGCATTTTTAAACATTGTTGGACGACTCTGCATTGTAAAGAAAAAGCTTAAAGATGGAAACGCGAAAACGGCGTTTCAAAATCTTCCCACTCTGAAGGCTGAATAAAAAAAAGATCGTTTACAGACCCCCGAAACACCAGCTTCGTGTGGATGAGAGGCTGGTTTGGTGAAAAATTTGTGCGTTTAGGCCAGGGTTTGACTTCGTGTGGACGGGGCCTTAAATTAAGGGCATTTATCCTTAATTTCAGTAGGTAAATGAGATAGTTTGCCAATGGAATGGGTATTTTTACTCTTAAAATAAGATAATAATTAGATAATATGCACTTGAATTAAGACAATGCAATGTGTTTTCTTAATTAAGTGTAAATTGTCTTGTTCCATTGGCAAAATGTCTCTTTTACCTCCTCAATTCAAGGACAAATGCACTTATTTGAAGAAAAAATGGCTTATTTTTCCAGTGTATTCCATGGGCAGATCATATTTACTGTATCTACTCAAATTAAGGGGAAATACATTTAATTTCAGAAATTTGTACTTATTTCTAGATCGTTTTTGCAGTGTTTGAAGTTTTGAGAAGAAATTAACATATTATTCTTAGAGAAACTGCAAAAGAAACAGGAGACTCTTGAAAAATTATACATTTCTACCATTTCAGACAGAACAAAGCTGGTTCGGATGGGTCTCTAAAATAATAGAATGGCAACATGATCTCTGTTTGCAAAGTTAACCAAACAAACCATATCAGGACAAACAAATCATAAGAACCATTAAGCATGGTGGTGGGGGAGCTGATGATTTGGGTTTGCCCTGCAGGGAAAAAACAAGTAAAAATGTCTTAAATTAAGCATATTTACCCTTAATATGAGTAGGTAAATAAGATGATCTGCCAATGGAATGAGCATTTTTACTCTTAAAATGAGTTAATTAGATAATATGCACTTGAAATAAGACAATGCAATTGTTTTTTTTTCTTATTTTAAATGTATTTTGTCTTGTTCCATTGGCAAAGTGTCTCACTTACCTCCTCAATTCAAGAACAAATGCACTTAATTTACAAAAAATTGACGCATCTAAATTTGGATTTTTTTTTTCCCAGTGTGCAGCCACTGCAAAAATGATCTAGAAATAAGTAAAATGTTCTTAAATTAAGTGTATTCACCCTTAGTTTTAAGGAGGTAAATGAGATAGTTTGCCAATGGCATGAGTAATTTTACTCTTAAAATAAGATAATACATTTGTGTTTTCTTATTTTAAGTGTAAATTGTCTTGTTCCATTGGCAAAATGTTTCTTTTACCTCCTCAATTCAAGAACAAAAGCACCTATTTTAAGAAAAAATGACTTATATAGATTTAGATTTTTTGCAGAGAGGACTTCAGCAGCTTGAAGTCCTTGAGTTCACTTTTAACTCCATCATCTAGCAAATTCCACTGGAGTGAAATGTGAAGCTCACTGATCCCAAAACAGAGCAGCAAATTGGACTAAAGAATGAAAACTGTCAAAGTTTAGCAGCGGATCAATCCGTCTGAAATTCAAGCTAACTGAAAAGCGGTGGTGGAACCTGAAACATAAGCACAGCAAAAAAAACTGCAGCTTGTGGTTCAATAACTAAATAAAAGACAGATGGAGTCCAGCAGAGATGCTATAGTGGGTTGGTTCTAAAAAATAAAATATATCCCTAATGGTTATTGATTGTGTATTATGGTCTTGGGGGCATTTAAATAAACAGGCTAAATTTAAATAAACTAGAAAAGTCATGTTTGTTATTAGGAAAATACGTCCTTTGCTGCTTTACTGCATTTTATAACCTTGAACTTTGTGGAGCTAAAAAACAACAAGAAAGGTGGAGGGAAGCTAGAATGGTGGTGATGGTCGTTTTTTTGTTTTTTTTTTGTCTATTCAGAGCAGCTCTGACATCAGTTGGTATTTCCCCCTGAGCTCAGCAGTTTTTCAGGGGCCTGTTTGGCTGCCAGGGGAGGGGGGCCCCGTGGGTCACTGCTCATCTTTCTATCTGACAGAGAAAAAACAAAAAGTTCCTTCTCTCTCCGGCACAAAGAGACTCTCAAAGCCTGGAGTAGAATCTGGCCCCGGCTATTGGACCTACCAAGTGCATTTTTCTTCTTCTCTTTGTTTGCTTTTCCACCACTTGACCCCAAGTAGCCTCCAGAAGACTAGAGGGTCTTTCACTAGAAGCCTAAAAAATATGTTTTCACCCAACATTTAATAAGCGGTAGTCTTAGAAAACATGAAACTACAGCAAAAATTCTACCACTTGTAGTTTATACACTGCAAAAACGATCTGAAAATAAGAAGAAATTTCTTAAATAAAGTGTATTTACCCTTAATTTGAGCAGGTAAATAAGATAGTTTGCCAATGGAATGAGTATTTTTACAGTTAAAACGACATAATTAGATAATATGCACTTGAAATAAGACAACACAATAGTTTTTTTCTTATTTCAAATGTAAATTGTCTTGTTCCATTGGCAAAGTGTCTCACTTACCTCATCAATTCAAGGAAAAATGCACTTATTTTAAGAAAAAATTACTTATTTAGATTTAAATTTTTTGCAGTGTAGCGTTAGAGTGTGAGAATATGGTTAACCGTACATAAACGTATCTTTGTGTTTGCTCTACGTAATGTAGCTTTCTTAGGTAGAGATTTTTTTTTCCAAATCTTTATTTCACAATCTAAGCAGGCTGGATGTTTTCCTTCAAACTAATCTATTTAGAAGAAATACTTGAGATTCTTTTGGAGGCGGTTTTGTCTGCCTCCTTGCTGAGAGTTAGATGTGAGAATCAATCCCAGTCTTGTAGCCGTCTGTCTGCCACAAGGCTGCAGGCGGAGACGGCTTCGGCCAGCTGGAAAAAAGGAGAAACGGGTAGAAGCAGGTAAGAACGGTGAGAAACGGTTCGTTTTGTGAAGGAAAGAAATCAACAGTAGGTTCATTTCTCCCTGGCAGCCGAGTAAAATAGAAGAAAGATTCTTTTATGGGTATTTTTTTTTTTTTTCATTTTTTGATACAAAAGTAAAAGATTTAAAAGATATTACAGCTCAAAGTCTGCACAGGATTTTTTAATATCAAGCTGGCAAAACAATTTCTTCTAAAAATGGTAACTACTAGTCTCGTGAGACCATCCTGATCTCGCGAGCTTTCAAGGTTTCACTCTGGAGACTCTCCGTTAAAGAAAATATGGAGCCGTTCACCAAACGAACGTCCAATCAGCGTTGGCTTTGAGGCGGGTTGAGGTGTGACGCAACGAGAAGCGCGACAGTTCAGTCTAAAGAACATGGCGGCTTCAGCCGATGAAACTAGCGTTAGCGTGGCTATCGAGCAAGTTTTATCGGAATTACAGAGTATTTCTTCACTGAAAGAAGAGCAAAACACTGCTCTGGAGGCTTTTCTCAGAGGAAAAGATGTTTTTGCTCTTCTCCCGACTGGTTTCAGCAAGAGTTTGATCTTGTGGTTGTGTTTTCGTCGTCGCTCTGTTAGTACGTCATATGCTTCGTTGATCTGATTGGTTTATTTGGCCCGTCTATCACCAACATAGACCAATCAGCTAACCAGTATTTTCGCCCCTTCCCAAAATTACTTGCTGAGCAAATCCATCTGGCGGAGTCAGGTAAGGTAACTACACCTTTTTTTTAAAAAAGTACACTGCAAAAATGATCTCAAAATTAGTAAAAATGTCTTAAATTAAGGGTATTTACCCTTAATTTGAGCAGTTAAATAAGATGATTTGCCAATGGAATTAGTATTTTTACTCTTAAAATAAGGCATCTAGATAAAATGCACTTGACATAAGACAAAGCAATTGTTTTTTCTTATTTTAAGTGTAAATTGTCTTGTTCCATTGGCAAAGTGTCTCAATTAAATCCTTAATTCAGGGAAAAATTCACTTATTTTAAGAAGAAATTACTTATTTAGATTTCCTTTTTTTTTGCAGTGTAGTCCTTGAATTGCTTTTCCTTTTTCTTGCTCTGGTACCAAACATATAAATATTAATCTGGACTTTGGCTAAGCCATTATAATAGATTCTATTTGATATAAACCAAAGTATAGCAGGGTCCTGGAAGGTTAACCCCACCTCACACTGCAAAAAACGGTCCAGAAATAAAGATTTCCCTAAATTAAGTGCATTTTCCCTTTAATTTGATAAGTTAAATATGATTCTTAAAATAAGTGCATTTGTTCTTGGATTCAGGAAATAAAAGAGACATTTTGCCAATGGAACAAGACAATTTACACTTAAAATAAGAAAACACAATTGCATTGTCTTATTTCAAGTGCATTTTATCTAAATATCTAATTTTAAGAGTAAAAATACTCATTCCATTGGCAAACCACCTCATTTACCACTTAATTTAAGAAATGTTTACTTAATTCTAGATTGTTTTTCCAGTGTAAAGTAAGGTAATTAGATTAAATACACTTAAAATAAGACAATGCAACAGATTTTTCTTATTTTAAATGTGAATTGTCTTATTCCATTGGCAAAGTTTCTCACTTACCTCCTCAATTCAAGACAAAATGCACTTATTTTAGGAAAAAATGCTTATTTAGATAGCTATTTTTTGCAGCTTCGAACTGATTTTTACTGTGTGTTTAGATCCTTATAACTACCTTGGAAATGGTTTTCATTGTAATGCTGGTTAGTTTTTATACTAATCACAGCATTTTACCTGCTGACTAATAAAAATCAGGGTTATTTCATCCGTTCATAACATGTTCTTTAGCGTGTTCTTGACCTTTTTTTTTTTGTCAACTAAAGCCTGAAATACATTAAATGTGTGAATGGAATTTAACATAACTCAGAATCTTCAAAAAGTGATGCTTCTGTGAGGCACTTTACAAAACCTTGAAGGGAAGACTTTCAAATATGTTGTTTGATTATAACTTCCATAACTTCATTTGAAAAAGTCTCTTCTGAATGATTGTTTTCAATGAAGTTTCAGCACCTATCAACCCCTCCTTGAAAACTTGTTCTTTTTTATTCTTTAATCCTGATGTAATTTTTAAAGATCAAGAAATGATCAGCATTTCCAGTGCAGCATTTCCTCCCAGATACTAACCTGACTGTTTCCCCTTGCCTGTGGTCACACAGTGTGTCTCTACGTGTGTCCAGGTAACAACTCTAATTGCAATGCTCTGACCCACGGGGACATGGTCAGCCTCGACGAAGGCCGCTTCCCCGCTCTGGAGCTCAACAACCGACGGCTGTCAGTGAAAAACTCTTTCTGTCGGAAGAACGGCGTCTACACCAGGTGAAGATCCTCTCTTTCTCCTTTAGGGTGTAATCACACAGAGAAATTTTTTTTTACATTTCATAAAAGATTTTATTGTTTCTTTTATAAATTCCTTGTGCAATATTTACAAGCGCATGAGCTGTTGATCAATGTTACTACCTCCCTATTTTTTTACCCTATACATCACAAGAGCTGGAGATGGATTAGACATAGTTATTCTTCTAATTCCACCTTAAATAAGTTTAATTAAGTAAAAAAGAATCATACTAATGAATAACAAATCCCATATTTGGTCTTGTATTATTACTGGTTGTGATCGACCTGTTTCAATCCATCAGTCTCTTCATTCAGGCTTCCCACGGGTCCTTAAAAAGCCTTAAAAGGCATTGAATTCTTCAAAATAAAACTAAGGCCTTAATTGGTATTAAAATGTCTTAAATCAGTCTTTCTTAGGTCTTAATTTTTAAAACATTATAAATAGGATTATTTTTATTATGGTTTATTTTTTTAATCTAAATAAAACATTAAAATTGACCTTTTTTTTATTTAAAGAAAATAACGACTTGCCATTATTGGTTCCGTTCCGATAGCGGAACCAATAAAAGCGCTGTTGCTGCCGGGACGTTTGGGAGATGCACCATTAACTTTTTGTCTGGAAATTATGAGCAAGTGTAAATGTAAAGAAAACTGGCTCCATCAAGAGTTTCCTCCATGGCTAAAACCAGGGAACGTACATGAGGCTCAGTGGATTTTGTGCAAGAAGCGATTAAAGCTCAGAACGATGGGAATTAAGGCAGTGGAGTCGCACATGCGAAGCACGAAACACAAAGCGTCAAAATGGAGTTACAGAGAAACAGCCAGTATTTCTCAGTTTAGTTCCACCCTTGTCTCTGCAACGCCTCCACTTATCACCAAATCAAACATACTAAGAAAACGATACAAAGAAAAATAGCTGCAAAAAAGACTTAGCACTGGTTATGTTGGGGCTTTAAAACTGATTTGTTTTGTTCCCTGCTTAAACAAAGTTTGTGAATTCAGTTAAATAATTGTTCAAATTTATCTGTCATTTGTGGGTTTTTAGCTTTCTTCCTGTATGGGAAGCTTTTTAAAATTTGAAACATTAGTGCAGTGGTTTAGATTATAATAAACCTTTGGGTTAAGTTGTCGCAAGCAGGTTTTTCTTGTGAATTTGGTCTTAAATTTTATATTTCAAGTGGCATTAAAAAGTCTTAAAAAGTCTTGAATTTAACTTGCCTTATGCTGTAGGAACAATGTCATTAACTGGATATTTGAAATAAAAGTTGTTGGACTATGAATCAGAAACAGAGAAAACAGTGATGCACTAAAAAGTTTTGGGATGCACTTCACTGCAGCCTTCCATACTGGAATTGTCTATTGTGCCAATAGATAAGGAGAGTTACTGTGGTAAGCGCAAAGGATGAGATTTATGTCTCAACAAACGACAGCTGGTGCACAAATCCAACAATGGACTTTAAATTTCGTACTTATAAACTACGAGCCTGTTTATTCAGCATTTACTGTTGTCATGTAAACTGGTGCATACATACCACCGGATGCTGGAAGACATCCAAAATCATACCACTAACCAAAAAGACCACCATCAGCAATGATCTGAGTAACAGGGGCTATTAAATGGATTTTGGCTGTCCCTCAATCGCAATTTAAAAATGGCCCACATTTTGTTCACCACGCAGTTCATGTAGATACATGTCTAAAAGAATGTAATGGTAGAGGCTGGAATCAGACTTAGAGCAGGGTTGATGATGGCTGAGGCTGTAAGCAGGCTTTGAGCAGAATGAATGATGGCTGATATGCTTGCAGCAGGCTTTGAGGTTACTGAATGATGGGTAACGGGCTGGAAGCAGGCCTTGAGCAAACTTGAAATGGCTGACAGGCTGGAATCAGGCTTTGAGCAGACGGGACTGAAGTATAACGAACTTGAAAGATGCAGAAATTGTCCAGATGTGACCAAACTCAGAAGCAGATGAGCATCCAATTAGGACTGGAAGAATACAGAAACACAGAAACCCATGTAGTCTTGCATATCACTGGGAAAAAACAAAATCTGGATAAGTAATTTTTTCTTAAAATAAGTGCATTTGTTCTTGGATTGAGGATGTAAAAGAGACATTTTGCCAATCGAACAAGACAATTTACACTTAGAATAAGAAAACACAATTACATTGTCTTATTTTAAATGCATGTTATCTAATTATCTTGTTTTAAGAGTAAAAATACTCATTCCATTGGCAAACTGTCTCATTTACCTACTCAAATCAAGGGTAAATACACTTAATTTAAGAAAATTTTACTTATTTCTAGATCGTTTTTCCAGTTGCTAGCAACGCTGCCCTGGAGTGATTCATACACGGTCAAATAGGAGACATTCTGGGGAGGAATAACTGTGAGAGGAAGTTATAAAGTAAATAGGCTGAGTAGCAGCTGAGAACAATTAGCAGAGCAAGAAGCCTGCCAGCCTCCCTAAAAACTATCAAACAGGATTCTTTACAGATGGACAGATGATTTGTGCTTGACCGCTACATGATCTAGGCTATTCCCTCTCACTGGGTGGTTTCTAAACTACTTGTATAACAGAGTATCTTGGATAAAATTTCAGAAAATGTTTGTATCAGGTAAAAATACCACAATAATGCCACAATAATGCCATACAAAGTTACCAAATCTGTCATGAAAAGGTACAGATGGAGCCAGTATTCAGGCCAATCAGACGGTGGGAAGTTTTTAATCGTTTAATGACAAAATAAAACAGAACAGAAAAAGGAATGCGGGCTGCTGTGGATCAGCGGACCTGCAGGAGCTGCAGGGGGGAAAGCAGAGCACCGCTCATCACTGGCAGACTGGTTCTACTTTTCACTCCATCCTCTCATGAAAGGCAGGATCAGCCGATGGACGGCCAACAAGATGCGGCGCTGAGCCGTCCAGACCGTCCCCAATGTTATCCTTATTTTGTTATTTTAAGTTTGATGAATCCTAAGATCTTTTTGTCAGTGTGTCCACGCCAGTAATAGTAATATTTCTGTCCAGTATTTGTTTTCATGGCAACACCTCCAAAAGTCCTTTCAATAAATACAGCTATGTATGAATTCAGCTGCTTTCAGTTATTTATCAATTGAAGACACGATCCAGATCACACACAGCCAGTCAGCCACTGGTAAGGGCTGTATCTTTTTCTTACAGTGTTCAGTGAAAATATCGCAATGCATCGCAATATTTCAAGTATCAGGATGCATCGTGATAGAATCGCATCGTGGCATGTGAGTCGTGATTCGAATCGAATTATGACTTCTTTGCCAATACCCACCCCTAAAAGAGGTCAGACCCCAAGTGAAAATAATATAGAAACATTCTAAAAATACATTTCAGATTTAAACCTTGTGAAAAAAAAAGGTTTAGGCTTGTTTCCCTCACTTTTTTTAAATTGTCATACTTTCTTTTTTTTTATCTTTTTAAAATATTTATTACACCTGTGCTACAAAACGTGATTATTTTTATTCATTTTTTTTATTTTATGATTTAATCATCAGAAAGTGTTTGCACCTCACACAATTTTTAGATTTTGAAACCGCTGCTGTCATATTGTTGAAACTTTAAAAGGTTTGGAGCAGTTTGTGTACAGGGACTGTGCTTAGTATGGAAATCAATTAGAGGAAAAATAAGTTAAGGATTCAGGTGCTGTTTACAAATTCAACGTTTTTATGTAGATGAAAATGAGACACCTATTTTTATCTGCAACTTGTTTGTATGTGTGACCTTAAGGTCGGATCATAGCAGCCACAGGTTGAGAAGGGGGGGGGGGGGGGGGGGGGGGGGTTGAAAGAATGCACAGATGTACTCAGAGAATCAGCTCTCTTTGAACTCAGCCCACAAAGGAGAAACCCAAATCCCCACACCTGAGCCTCCGCTTACAGATTAATACCCCATCATGATCTCTGGTCTCAGAGTACTAAAGGCTGGATGAAACCAGCAGACTACACTCAGATAGAAAATCTTATATTTTTAATTCCACTGCACTCAGTTTCATTCAGGAGCTGCTTCAGACACCAAACATTAGTTGCAGCTGATTGAAAGTGTTGATTTTTCTAAACTGCCTTTCATTACACTGGAAAAACGATGTAGAAATAAGTAAAAAAAATCTTAAATTAAGCGTATTTACTCTTAATTTGAGTAGGTAAATGAGATAGTTTGCCAATGGAATTAGTGTTTTAACTCTTAAAATAAGATAATTAGATAATATGCACTTGAAATAAGACAATGCAATTGTGTTTTCTTATTTTAAGTGTAAATTGCCTTGTTCCATTGGCAAAATGTATCTTTTACCTCCTCAATTCAAGAACAAATGCACTTATTTTAAGAAAAAATGACTTATGTAGATTTCGATTTTTTCCAGTGTAACTGAATATCTGAAATAGTATTAATGAAAAAGTTGTTGCACTATGAATCAAAAACAGAATTTTATGCAAAAAATAGTGATGCAATAAAAGTTTGGGGATGCACTTGAATGCAGAGTTCCATACTGGAATTGGCTATTGTAACAATATGTAGTAAGAGCAAAGGATGAGATTTATGTGTCTGAACAAAAATCAGCTGCTGCACAAACCCAACAAATGTAGATGGCTCTTGTTCCCTATTTTTCTGATCCTCTAGTGATAAGAGCTAAAGGTGATACCACTATGAATATAGCTATGGAAAGGTGTATGCCCATCTTATTTTGTGGCACCTGTTTTGAAAAGCTCCGCTGTGCAGATGCAACAATCACAGGGAGAGTTCTCCTCAGAGCTACGCAAAGATTTGGGTAGAATTTAGATCTCATTTTGAAAAAAGGTGAGTGAGTTAATAAGCTCATATAGAGTTTAGGATCTCTGAAGGTTTTCCATTCCCTGATCCTTCATCACTATCAAAGATGCACTGCAAAAACGAGCTAGAAATAAGTACAAATTTCTTAAATAAAGTGTATTCACCCTTAATTTGAGTAGGTAAATGAGATAGTTTGCCAATG